GAGAAGACTCATTTTATTGAGTTCAAATCCACCCTTAGAGACTTACTAGCTGTATAACCCTGGGCAAATCATTTAACCCTGTTTGCCTTAGTTTCCTTATCTGTAAAATGAACTGAAGAAGGAAATGTCAAACCACACCAGTATTTTTACCAAGAAAATGCCAAATGGGGTCACAAAAAGTCAGACATAACTAAACTGAACAACAAAACTGGTAACTTTAAATGTGACTAAATCAAGCATCCAATAAAATGAAAAAGAATGACAGGTTGGATTACCAAAAAACCCTACAATATGTTGCTTACAAGAAACACATTTTTTAAAACAAAGATATACACAAAATAAAACTGAGCGGATGCAAAAAATTTTTTAATATATTTGAAGGGAATACAAAAAAAGCAGGAATTGTAATCATGCTATCTGAAAAGCAGAAACATTCAAAAAATAAAAAGAGATAAACAAGGAAATTATATTATGCTAAAATGAACCTTAGCCAACAATCCAGTAACAGTAATAAACTTCTAAGTTCCAAATGCCTTCGCCCTCGTACATGGTCACTTTTGGAGCACAGAAATATTGCAAATATATGTAAAAAGGCAGAGATAGTCAATATATCCTTTACAATCCATGAAACAATAAAAAGAAATTGGTTCAGAGACTGGTTCAGGACAAAAAGATACAGACCCAAATGGAAAGTTAATAAGGAAATCTTAAACAAAGAGTAGGCCAAGGAACAAATCATAAAAACAATTAACAACTATGCAAAAGAAAATGATAATGATGAAAAAACATACCAAAATTACGTGGTTGCAGTTAAAACGGTCTTCAGGAGATAAATCAGTAGCCTTATATAAAACATTAACAAACTAGAAAGGAGAAAGATTAGTGAACTGAATATGCATTTTAAGAAGTTAGAAAAGTAACAAATAAACCTAAAATAAGCCCCAAAAAAGGAAATAGAAAAAATTAAAGAGGAAACAAATTGGAAACAAATAACTATAGAAATGGTAAATAACCCTTTGCTAATTTGATTAAAAAGAGAGCAAATCAAATCATTAAAACAGCAAATGAGCAAGGTGAAATCACAGCAAAACCTGAAGAAATTAAAAGAATAATCAAAACATACACCACTACAGGTTAATAAAACCAAGAATAGAAAATAGAGGGATACTTCAAAAACATAAAATGCCCAAACTATCAGAAGATCAGACAGATATTAACTAACAAAATCTCAGAACAAGAAATAGATCTAGCTGTAAACGAACTACCAAAGAAGGGGGAAAAAAAAACTTCTGGTCCTGATAGATTCACAAGAGAATTCTAGCAAACTTTAAAAGAATAGTTAATGCCTGTCACAAACTATTCCCTAAAATTGAGAAAGAAAGCACCTTATCAAAATCCTTTTATGAGACAAATATAGCCCTAATACCTAAATCAGGGAAAGGTAAAACAAAACAAAAAACAAAAAACTATAGGCCAATATTATTCATGAACATTCACTCAAAAAATTCAAATGATATCACATCAGACTACAGCATTTTATCCAAGAAATCTTACATTATGATTAAGTGGAATTTATGCTAGGGATACAAGAATGGATTAACATTAGGAAAACAATCAACATAATTAAACATATTAAAAATCAAACCATCCAAAACCACATGATCATCTCAATAGATGCAGAAAAAAACTCAAAGTACACCACTGTTTTATGCTAAAAACCCTGCAAAGTATCAGTTACAAAAATATGCATAGTGAAGCGAACAAGTTTCCATATTGGACATGTCAAAAATTAATGTTTCATTCTGCATATTTAGTTCATTACTTTTTGGTCTGAAGGGAATAGCATTCTTCATATATAGAGGGAGCTTTTTGTAATATCATAAAAAGCATCTATCTAAAACCAAAAGCAAGTATCATACACATTGAGAATAAACTAAAACATCTGCCAATATATAACAGGAGAGAAACAAGGATACCTATTCTTCCCACTATTTGAGATAGTCCTGGAAATGCTAGCAACAGCAAAAAGACAAAAGAAAGAAATTAAAGGAATAAGCATAGGTAAAGAAGAGATAAAACTATCCCTGTTTGCAGCCAATATGATGGTTTTCTTGGAAAATCCTAGGGAATTGGCAAAGATACTAATTGAGACAATTAACAGCTTCAGCAAAGTTGCAGGCTACAAAATAAATCCTCAAAAATCAACAGCATTTCTATATAATAATAATAAAACACAAGAATCAACAACAGAAATGGAAATCTTATTCCACCTAACTACAAAATGCATAAAATACCTGAGTATTAATCTCCCAAAGCACACAAAAGACTTGTATAGATTCATTTACAAAATGCTCCTTAAAGAAATGAAAATCAACTTAGACAAGCTGAATACAGTGCTCCAGCGATGACAATATAATAAAAATGACAATACTACCAAAATTAATTTATACCTTTAACGCTATACCAATCAAATTACCAAGGAGATACTTTACTTTACAGAATCTGATAAACTAATACATATGGAAAAACAAAAGATCTACAACATCAAGGGAAATGATGAAAAGAAGTAGGAACAAAGGGGGGTAATAGCACTTTCAGACTTCAATTATATTATGAAGCAGTAGTCATCAAAACCACCTGACATAGAGAGACAGATCAATGGAACATAACTAGCTAAGGGACATTCAGAAACAACAGAACAACGCAGTGTGTGGTCAAGTGGAAAACGTAAATTACCTAGAGAAAAACTCCCTATTTGATAAAAACTACTGGGAAAACGAGAAATCAGTCTGGCAGAAATTAGGCTTACACCAAAATCTTATACCACATTGCACAATGTATTCTAAAGGGATACTCAACCTTAATATTAAAGATCACAAAAAAAATTAGAAGAGAAATAGATTATGTCCCTCTCACAGCACTGAGTAGAAGATGCTGTCTTAACCAAAGGGGAAACAAAGGCAATTACAAAAGATCAAAGAGATAACTTTGCATGAAACTGAAAATCTTCTACACAGACAACATAAATACATCTAGGATAAGAAAGGAAGTGGTACAGTGGGGGGAAAACTTTGCATCTAATTTCTCTGATAAGAGTTTGGTATCCAAGACATATAAACAATAAATATATATATGGCTGTTATACCCCAATAACTAGTAAAAGGATATAAACAGTTCTCAAAAGCACTACTAAGAATCACAACCACATGAAAAAATGCTCCAAATCACTAATAACAAGAGAAATGCAAACCAAAACAACCCTAAGCTTTCATTACTGAAACCCTGCAAATTGACAAAAATGGCAACATTCAGAATAGATGTTTTAAAAAAAAAACAATAAACAGGCTGACAAAAGTGCTCCCATACCCACAATTAACCTTGTTGAACTAATACTAGCTAGCATTTTGTATGGCACTTTAATGTCTAGGGAAGAAATAGATTTTAGTCTCATAACTTCCCTGGGTGGTAGGTACTGTTGTTATCCCCATTTTCCAGAGGAGGCGACTGAGGCAAATAGAAATTAAGTGACTTGCCCAGGGATAAATAATTGCTAAATACCCGAGGGAGAAATATGCATGTACTTACTCCTGACTCCAGGCCCAGGGCTGTATCCACTGCGCCACCTGGCGGCTTGACTTCACAAGCATTCAATTAAAAGCAGAAAAAATATATATTTATATTTTTATATTATATATATATATAAATGTCCAATCTAATTTTTTATTACATTTCGTATTTTTAAAATTAACAAGAATCATTTTTTCTTCCTCCCATCTTCTTATATGAATCCATTCATCCACTGGGGGATGAGATTAAAAACTTGTAACAAATACGCAAGGGAAAGCAAACTAGTTGCCATATTGGCCATGCCAAAAAAAAATTGTTCATTCTGCATATTTAGTCCATTACTTTTTTTTTAAATCAGGAGATGGGTATCATTCTTTGTCTTCAGTCGTCTGGAACCATGGTCGATCACCGCATTGATCAGAGTTCTTAAGTCTTTCAAGATCCATTTTTACAACGTTGATAACAGTATGTATTGTGTTCTACTATATTGCTATAGTACAAATTGTTCTCCTAGTTCTGGGCATTTTACTCTGAGTAAGTGCATACAAGTTTCAGTTTCTTGGAAAGCACTCTTAGTTTTAATGACAAAATAGTATTCAAGTATAGTCATACGGCACAATTGTTCAGCTATTTCCCAAACGATGCTCCACCCCCTGACTTTCTAGTAAATACTTTTGTACATATAGACCTTGTCTTTCTTTTCTAAAGCAAGCTGAAAAGGAACTTTTAAAAAATCTAAATAAACCAATGCTTCAACAAGTTGTCACGTACTCATAACCCAGCCAGTTCTCATCGGCAGCTCTACACCTCTAGGAGGGTTTTTCCAGCTTTGCTGCTTTCTCGTAGAGGGGCCTGCCCGTGATGTCGGGTCTGGGTCATCAAGCTCGGCAGGCAGAAGCACCGAGGCATCTAGAGCGGAAGAGTGGAGGGGGAAGGGAATTAGAGGAGAAGACCGAGAACAGGTGCGACAGCCGAGCACACAAACTTGAACACAAAGCCTCCGCTTCCCCGCCCACGCACCCTCCCTCCCCCCCTCGCACCCTCCCTCCCCCCACCTCAGTAACCACGGCCGCCCACGGATTGGCCAAGCCCAGCGAGGTCAGAAGGTGCGATTGGCTGTCGGCTGCGACACGAGCTGGAGGCCTCATTCCGCCCCTTCCCGGAAAAAGAACCTCTAATCCGAATGGGGGCGCTGGCCGAGTGTTTGCGCTCCTGCCCCGGGTGGCAGAAATCCTAGGGCTGAGCTCGCCGACCCGCTCGGTTCGGCTCCTTTTCCTCCCCCTGACCCCTCCGTACTTCGCTCTGCCCAGGGAGCGCGCCACCGACTGAGAGAGGCAGGACGCGAGGGGCGGGCCTGGGAAGGACGCCTCCGCTCTCGCTAGCTGTGGAGCCATCAGGCGATCGGGATACGTAAGGCTCGGGACGGCCCGCGATTGGTCGGCGCGAGGATGTGGCGCGGCACGGCTAGGCTGGCATTGGCTGGCGCGATGGGGGGTGGGGCCTGGGCCCCTGCCGGGGGGCAGGGTTGGGGCGCGTACCCGTCGCTCTTCTTGAGCAGCCGCGGCAGTTTTGGTGCTGTGAGTTCAGGCTCCTCGTGCAGCGGCGCAGTCGGCGGAGCGGAGCCGCAGCACCGGACCTTCAGCGGGAGAGCAGGGTAAGGAGCCGGCCCCTCGCTGGAAGCGGCCGGGCGTGCAGAGACCTTAGGTGGGCGGTGTATGGCCTCGATGGGAGGGGCCGGTGGCGGCGCGGTCTAGCAGAGCCCCTGCCGCCTGGTTTCAGCTCCGGCCGCAGGCGCTAAGCAGCTGGGGTCCTGGGCGAGCACCCAGCCTCCCTGGGCCTCTGTTTCCTCTTCCGTAAAAGGGATGCTTAACCCACGCTTCGGGCTAGCTGGCGTCCTAAAAAGGTCTTCCACTGAAATAACGGGCTCCTCCCTGCCCGCCGACTTCAGTTAAAAGCTGGATCAGAGCATCGGCTGGGAAGGAGCTCCCCCCGGCTTTAACCTCGCTAGGATTCCCTGCGGGAGCAAACCCAGCGCCGTGGGGGCCCTTCCTGGGAGCAGGGAGTCAGACTGGAGGGAGGGAAGCGGTTAGCACCTTGGCGTTGGGCGAAGTGGAAGGCTTGATAAGCAGGGGACAGTTAAATTAATAAGAAATGAATTGATAAATTTTAAATTCATAGTTTTCATCGGCAGTTGGTAACCACTGTAGAAAGACATGATTAGCCATAGCATCCAAAGCTGGAAAAGGATCCTTGCTGATCATCTAGAGACCAAGCATCTATTTAATTTTACAGATGGAACCGGGGTCTCAAAAGATTGATTAGCTTTTATTAAGCAACAGTGATTAATAAGAAACTGAGCTGGGAATTAAACCCCCAACTGCAGGACTGGGCCTGAAAGCTTTGAATGCTATGGAAGTTTAATGTTATTACTAAAGATGTTGAAATCTTGCGGAGGTAGCTGACTTGGAAAATAGCTCTACACTTTTAACTGAGAGGTAATTGCGTCACTTGTTCAACTTGAGAAACTGGTCAGAGGCACTTAGGATTTTTAATGGTATAGGACAGTGGTGTCAAACTCAAATGGAAACAAATTTCCAAGGCTGCAAATTGGCTTAGAAAGCCACACGTTAACAGATTGTGGCGTTTTTATGTATTTTGTTAAACATTTCCCCATTACACTTTAATCTGGTTTGGTATGTCCTAGTATAGGGGAATGCTTTGGAGGTTCTACTATTAATACCTGCACTTTAGAAAAAGTATTACATAGGTCTGCAAAAATTAAGAACCTATTCCTTAGCTTGACTAAATTTTCTATCTTCCGAATAATTACTTCTTTCCTTTCCTGTGAGCTTTATTTCTCATCATGCATGGAATTGTGTAGTTCGAAGAGACCTCTGCATCCCACGCATACACAGAAAGCATCCCCACTCTAACACATTCAACAGGCCCTTTTTGAAGGTCTCTAATAAAGATCTTGACTCCCCAAGACATACAATCACAATTTTGGACAGTTCTAATTCTTAAAAAGTTTTCCCTGACATCAGGCTTAAATTTTCTTCTTTTCAATTTCCTTTCCTTGTTTCTAGTTCTGCCCTGCAGGGGCAACATCTGCTCCCTCTTCTACATGAAAACCTTTCAAATACTTGAAGAGACAGCTTTCATATCCTATCTGGAGTATTTCAATCTAAGTATGCCCAGTTTTTCTTCCTTCAATAAATTGAAAACCCTTCACCATTCTTGTCATCCTCTTTTGAATTCCCCTCTTCTTTTCAATGTCCTTCTTAAAATGGTGTTCAGACTGAATCCAGTATTCCATATGTGATGTGACCAGGGCAAAGTAGCAAGACAGAATCACTTTTTTATCCCCGGAAGCTTTACCTTTCTTGATACAGGCCATGATTACATTAGAGTTTTTAGCTGCCAAATCCCAGTACTGACTTACCTTGACTTTGCAGTCCATGAAAACCCCCTATCTTTTTCAGACAAAACTACTTTGTAGGCAGGTATCTTCCATCCTGTACTTAAAAAGTTAATTTATTTATTTATCCCAACTACTAAGACATTACATTTGTCTTTTGAATTTTATCTCAAGAGAATTGGCCCAATGTTCCAGCCATAAAAAATTTTTCGTTGTTGCTGTCTCTCTCAACTTTGTGTCTTCTGCAGATATGAACATGCCATCTATACCTTTTTCCGAGTTTTTAATGAGTACAGGGCCTAGCAAAGATCCCTGAGGTAGTCCTCCTCAGACCTTCTGCCAGGTTGACATCGAGCCATTAACTTGTGTTACTCCTTGAATTCAGGAATTTAGCATGTTCTAAAGCTTAGAACATTGAAGGTTAGAGCTGGAAGAGTTTATCTAACATTTCACAGACTTAGACAAGTTAGATTAAGAAGGATTTCTGAACTATGTGGTTTTGGAAACAACCCTGAGCAAGAAAAGGTATTAAAAATTTGGTGAAGTGGCTACTACTAGATTGATTCCCCCACCTTCTGCCCAATAAGAACAGAATCGAGCTGCCAAATTTTCTTGTTAAGGCTAATCTTGTTTCTCATTTACATTTCACTTCAAGTATCTTATTGTTGTCAACATTGTACTTGCATGTCTCTCAAATATACCCCATTCTCTTCTACCTTGCTTAGATTGTTAAAATCTAGGTAGAAATGCCAAAATGGGATTTAAGCATAAAACTGGACCTAGAACCATAAACTGATAGTAACTTTCAGCCAGTCTTGATCCTCTTGAACTTCTTCCCTGCAATGGAAGGAATACATTTCTGCCTCTCTTCTTCAACAAGATAAAAGTAGCCAGAATGAGCTTCAAGGGACCGGTTTATTATGGGCCACTGGAGTAAGGAAAACCAGATGGGCCCCCTGGAGGACATTTAAGAGGGAATGGTGGTACCAGAGGTGAGGGGCACCAGGAAGTTCCCTCTTGGGAAGTAGTCTTGCTCTAAAGGTTGTTTTGTATATTCCTTAACATGTTATTAAGTTCATCCTGTGTGTCAGGATACTACAGTTAAACATGCAATAGCCCTTGTCCTAAAAGAACTTAAAATCCTACTAGAAGTTAGGGTGAATGGGAAGAAGTAAGGAGGAGGGAAAGAATTTACACGTAAGTAAATATAATAAAAGGTAAATTGATTGGGGAAGAGCACAGATATCAGCGTTGTTATCTGAGCATTGAAGATAGGTATTCTGGAGTATGGATGAACAGGGAATGCATTCTAATCATGATGAGATGCATTGTAGAGATCAGAGAACAATTAATAGTTTAGTTTGGCTAAGATTTACAGAATCTGTGTAGTATCTTAGAAGTAATGGAGAGTGAGTATTACATGTTGGCAGTTCTAAAGGCAACGGCTTGGAAAGGGTAAGGGCTAGAATCCAGGAGGCCAACAGTTGAAGCAATAAGCAATAATTAAACTGGGCAGTAGTTAAGTGAGTGAAGAGAAGAATGTGGTTGGAAGAGATGTGGACGTGGAGTCTGAGATGTAGCAACTGTTTGACTGTAGGAGTGAGGAAGAGCCAAGTATTAGTTCACCATTTATGACCCAAGTGACTAAGAAATGCCTTTAACAAAGATGAGCAAGTTTAAAGAAGGTGTTTTGGAATCGTCGAGTTTGAGATATCTTCAAACTACCCAGAAGGAAATATCCAGCAGGAAGTTGGCAAGTGTGGGACAGGAGTTCAGGAGAGAGATGATGTGGGTTTGGGAATCAAGAATGTCAGGAGCCAAGAGAAGAGAGGGCAGTCATTGGGGGCTTAGAAGCTCTTGAGCTTCACCCTCTCAGTTTACAGGTAAGGAAACTAGAGTATGGAGTACTTACATGGCTTACCCAGAGTGACACAACTAGTAAATACCTGAATCAGGATTTGAACCCAGGTCTTTTGACTCCAAGTCACACTGTGCCCACTTCACTCTGTCATGCTGCCTCTCATTAGTCAGCAATGTTAAAAGCTACAAGAAAGAATGAGGACTGAGGGGGGAAAAACCCCATCAGATATAGTGTTTAATAGCCTTGGTAACCTTGGGGAGAACAGTTTCAGCCAACAGGGGAAATCAGAAACCAGATTGAAGTGTTGAAAAGTGAGTAGGAGGTGAAGTAGATGTAACCAGTTTGGCCCTCAAAGGGAGGAGAGAGGAGACGGGATCAAGTGAATCTATTTAAGACAAGTAGTTGTGAGCATGTTTCTAGACAGTTGTAAAGGAGCAAAAGATAGGAGGAGAATGAAGGGAAATTTAGTGTCAGAGTGACCAGTGGGATAAACTTGTGTCAAGGATGGGAAGGGATAGGGATAAAGGCACAGGTAGAGGTAGCTGGTCTTGACCAGAAGGAGCTGTCTTTTCCTCAGCTCCCTGGGTAAAGGTGAAGAGGCTCAGCCATGGGGCAGGAGTCCGGGTGAAGGTAGAAGACTTCATTGACAGATATTTACAAGAAATGTGACACAGTCTTCTCCCCCTCCTCTTTATTATCAGCTTCTTGGGAAGGATTAAACAAATTCCAACAATGCCTGAAATAAACACTGACGATCTTGATGAGCAGCAGGTTCAGCTCCTTGCAGAGATGTGCATTCTTATTGATGAAAATGATAACAAGATTGGTGTAGAGACCAAAAAGAATTGCCATCTGAATGAAAACATTGATAAAGGTACAGTTGGATTTTGTCGTTGTTTCTAAATAAATTTATCTGGCGCTTCAAATTAGCAAAAACAGCCACTCAGAGACATCAGTGTTGGAAATCAATTTGAGATAAACTAGAGTGGTTATTGTCAGCCATCTCTCCATTTGGGCTTTGGTTAGTTAATGGCATAGTAGAAATATAAACATTAAGTCTATATTTTACCAGATTTCCCCCTCCATTTTATTTAGATGCTTGATGCCCATTTCTTTTTGTAAATAAAGATGAAAAAAGCCAAATTTTGAGACATGTCAGCAAAGTTATGTAGAAATTATTAAGCCTAATTCATCATGCAAAGGGAATCGTTGCAAAGCCTAGAGTGCCTCTCCACAACAAGAATAGACTGCTGATTCCAGATTGAAGTGACTGTCCTTGTGCCACGAAGCCTTGAAAAGGCCACTGACTCCTGCAAGTAGAGTCACTTCTGTCACTTACTAACCTCTCTGAGCCTCAGTTTCCCCTTTTGTGAGAGGAGAGAGTTGCACTGAACAGCTTCTCAGGTTCCTTCCAACTCTCAATCTGTGATCCTATTGCTTAGTAACGACAAACTCCCCCTTGGTGATTGATGAAACCGTCTCAATTTCAGCTTTTTATAAGCATAGCCAGATGTGGGAGGAAAGATAACTCTGAGAATTGGGTTACAAGATAACTTTCTGAGGCCTAAGTGGAGAAATAGAGAAGTTTTTTATAAGCCATGTCAATGTTAATGTTTCTTTTTTTTTCTTTTCAGGATTATTACATAGAGCTTTTAGTGTCTTCTTATTTAATACAGAAAATAAGTTATTGCTGCAGCAGAGATCAGATGCTAAAATTACTTTTCCAGGTCAGTACACTTATTTTCCATTTTTGTGGGATAAACAGCATGGTATAGTGGGATGAGCCTATGACTTTTGGAGTCACAAAACACCTGGGTTCAAGTCATACTTCTCATACTTTATTAACTATTTGACCGTGGTACCATGCGCAAATCATTTAATTTCAGTTTCCTTACCTGTAAAGTGGGGATATATCTTGTCATTTGTTGTTATTGATATAGTGCTCTAAGGTTTCTAAAACACTTTGCATACATTATCTCACCTGATCCTCAAGACACCTAGCCTTCGGCTCTCTATCTTTGCTCCAAAAAAGCCTGTAACATAGGTAGAACGGGGATTAATACGCCCGTTTTTACAGATGAACAAGCTGAGTGTTAGAGGAGTTAATTGACTTACAGTCACACTGCTATATTTATAAGAACCAGAGGTGAGATTGGAGGATACCTGTTTGCCCAGGGCAACACTGACACACATGGTGGTTCTTGGAGCTGGAGTCTGCCAGTTCCCCTGGCTATGCTAAGGCATATGGAGGTTCCTGGTGTTGGCATTTGCCTGCTCCACCACACTGGGGCTCAGGATCTCCCTCTGGTTTGCTGTGACACTTCCTGTCCTGGACTGCTCCTCTTTTGCCCAAGTGAGACAGATGTTTCTTGGCGATCTTCCAAGTCACCCCATCTTTTTGCTGGTTCTGCTGTACAGGATTTGTTTTGAGGTGCTATTTTATGGTTGTTTGGAAGTGAATATGGGAGAGTTACAGTAATTCACTGCTTACTCTGCCATGTTGGCTCCCAGAAATCCAGCGGTGAAATTGGAAGTCAGGTCTTCTTGACTATTGAGCCCAGCAGCCCAAAAACTGTCTCTTACAGGATTGTTTGGAGAATCTGATGAGCTAATGTATGGAAAGGCCTTTATAAACCGAACAGCATTTGGTGACAGTTCTTACTCTAGTTGATCAAGCAGTCCTCTCTGAGGTTAATCTCTGAAGTGGTTGGAAAGAACTCTTAGAACTAAGTCTGCTATGGCTCTCAAGAAGGGTAGGGGAGTGGACGTGAGCTCTGAGTGAGAAGGATACCAAAAATAAGCTCTTGTTTTGTAGAAACAGAATTGTTTTTTGTTTCTAACAGAGTTTATTTTCATGATAGTAGACTTTCATGGCTGACAGCTTTTATATATACTTGTGCAGAGTTAAAGAAAACCAAATTGACCTACTCTTTAAGTTTAAAAAGAAGTTACATATGTTTAAATACCCAACTCTGTTTAAATGAGTTTTAAAGGCATCTTCTGATATAGGGTGGGAGTTTTCTAACATTCAGCCCTTTTTAACAAAGCTATGATAAGAGTCCAGAAAAGGCCAAAAAAACTACCTGCTAAATAATGTGTGGTAGGAGCAGGGAGCTTGAAACCAGTTAAATTAGGTGAAGAGAGAAAACTATTAATTAGAAAATGTTTATGGGTTTTTTCCTCTTCCTTTTTTTTTTTTTTTTTTTTTTTTTTTTGGTTGAAGAACAGTGACATACTGCTTTGTAACTGTCCTTTCTGCTTTGGCCATGAAGTAACAGAAAACACTTAAGAGAGGATATAGAAAAGACTTTGTTTTCATTCCCCTTTCTCTCTTCCCTCCCTCCCCCTTAATTTTCTCTCTCTCACACACACACACACACACACACATATATATCTGTATCTATAGATATAGATATATATACATAAAAGCTCTCTTGTGGTCTTCAAGGAAGTCTCCTTCACAGGCTTTTGGTCAGCTTTTCATCAGGGCACCAGAGCTGTCAATAAGCACCAGGAGGGCTTATCTCCAAGTTAAAAAATTCAAAGGGAAATTAGTGCTACTCCAAGACAGAGAAACACCAGGGTTAAATGAAATGTCTAAATGGTTCAAAATAGTTTAATAATAAAGATGATATGCCCACATGTTTGTTTTTATTTCAGTCCTGTTCAACATTGTGTATCCTGATTAAATATAGTATTTAATACATACGAGTTCCATTTTTATAGGAGAAAGTATAACTAACTAATCTATCTCTTTAACTACACCCATGAGAATTCTAGTTGTTTGGATCATGGGGCCATAGTCAAGAAAAAGCTATCCACTTGATAAAAGCCTACTCTAATTGTAAGCATGCTACAGTTTCTTTTGTATTGCCCATAGAGTCTAGGGCAATGTTGTGCACACAGTGGGCTGAATGATTAAAAGATTAATAAAGGTGCGGTTTAAAAATAACTCTGCCTGTAATACTCATGAGCCAGAGTCCATATGAAGCAACATCCCATTTTCCCGAGGTGTCCAGTATAACCCTGAGCTTAGAAGCAACAGGAAAAAAGTCTTTAAAGTAGTGATGAAAGTTGTGTGATAATGTAATATAGATGATATAGAAAATGCTCAAAAAAGCTAAAGGAAGGAAAGAATAGGAGTGGGGAGGGGGGTGATAATAATAGGACCTAATTCTTAAGATTGTTGTGAGGGTCAAATGAAATAGAACATGCAGAGTCCTTTGAAAACTCTGAAGTGCTATTTAAATCTTGTCATCATCATTATCATTATTACCAAAGAGTACTCTGTGGAGGTATTTCTTTAGGTGATAACACATCAATCAGTGGAGGAGATTCTAAGTTGAAGAATATGATTTCATGATCAGAACTTGACTGTTACATTTTTGTATTTATCAAAGTATAAATGTCCATTTTAGGAAAGCATTCTTGCATCTTTAAAGCTGTTGACATTTAATTTAATAGAGAATATTTTTTATATTCACATTTATGGGAATATAAATTGGTGAGAAGCGAGTAAATTGTGGTGTTAGAATCCTTTTATAATAAGGGGAAGAGGGTAGACTCCCAGATCTCTAATTTAACATAGATTTTGAATAGCTTCTCAAAAGCACAAAATAGCCTTTCTTTATTCTAAATACAGAAATTTATGTTATAAACTGATTTTTTTATGTCTTAAAATGAAAATTTAGTAATGACTCTTCTTCATACCATGTTCATGATCTTTCAAGAAATGGAAATAATTTAATCTTTAACATTTTGCAGGTTGTTTTACAAACACTTGTTGTAGTCATCCATTAAGCAACCCAGGAGAACTGGAAGAAGATAATGCCATAGGAGTAAGGCGGGCAGCTCAGAGACGTTTAAAGGCTGAACTAGGAATCCCCATGGAACAGGTAACAGTGATACTCCGTGACACTTAACCAACTGAGAACAGAATATAAGCTGAAACTTGCTTTTGATAGCTAGATTGCAAAAGAAATTTTGGATTCTTGAAGTAACTTGTTGAATAGGCCTTTGACTGTAGAAGCTAATGTGAATAAATACAAACTGAAACTTATATTTTCATTCCTTCTTAATAGTCAGTCTTGCTCAGTACAGAGACATGTTGATAACTGTATATGTTCTTGTAAGAATTTTAGTTGTTTCCTGGCTCATGGTCTTCCTTTCTGCGTGAATCCCTGCCCCCATATTTGCGGTCTCCAATAGGCATTCCAGCTCCTGCCTCCAAAAAGCTTTCCCTCTTTCCTGGAAATGTGTTCCTTCCTTCTCTTTGCCTCTCGGAAGGCCTAGCTCAGGTGCTACCCCCTTCTCAAAGCCTGGTATCATTTCCTGAGCTGTTAGTGCTCTCCCCCTCTCAGATTATCTTGTATTTACTTAATTGTTAGTGTTTTTATCAAACTTCACTATAAAGTTCCTCATGGATGGGAACTTCTTTCATTTTTGCGTTTGTATTCACAGTGCCTGCGATAGTACTTTGCACATAAGAGAAACTGAGATGTTTGATTTGAATAGAGTATTAAATAGTCCTTGGGAGATGATTGTTTTAAGATGATATTAAAAATGTTCCCTAAAAAATTCATCTTCATTTATATGTGCTTAGAAATGTTAAGGTTTTTTTATTCTTCTTTAACAAAATGTCTGTTTTGGTCACAGGTTCCTCCAGAAGATATTTCCTATCTAACACGAATCCACTACAAGGCACAATCTGATGGGATTTGGGGAGAACATGAAATTGATTATATCTTGTTTGTGAGGAAGAATGTAACCTTAGATCCAAATCCTAATGAGATTAAAAGCTATTGTTATGTGACCCAAAAAGAACTAAAAAAACTCCTGGAAGAAGCAGCTAATGGTGAAATTAAGATTACACCCTGGTTCAAAATCATTGCCGAGACTTTTCTGTTTAAATGGTGGGATAACTTGAATCACTTGAATAGATTTGTTGAACATAAGAAAATTCACAGAATGTGAAAATATGGGTCTAGAAAACTCCACATTAAAGTCATTTTAAAATTACCTTGTTCTCTTTTATGAGGACCGTCATAGATGATATGCTGTTTGAATATGTAGAAAGACCACTGGCTAGGTGACTGTAAATTGTATGTCTTAGGTGTACACATGGCCAAAAAGTGTATACATGTGGAAGATGTTTTATTTAAAAATAAAGCAGAAACCACACCTGCCTGCAGACACACTCAGAATTTAGCTAGATTAAATTATTTTAACATATGCCTCAAATCTATTTGTGGCAAATTTACACAAATTAAGTTTTAATATGATTGGGACAGACTTTTTCAGTATCTAAGTTTATATTGTGGTTCAGATAAAGGTATTTGTCTAAAGGAGGAATATATTTACCTCTAAAATATTGATTACCTTATCTGTTTGGCTATTGTGAAACATGCTGAAATAATTTCAGTGTAACTCTATTAAACTAGTACAGAAGATTTTAAAGAAATTGGTGATGTCTTAAAGGTTTGGTTTCTTTACCTCTATTCAGAGTAAAAATGGGGATTAGTCGTTCTGAAAGTGGGTCTTTAAAAAAAAGGAAGAAAAAGTAGTTTTAAGTTTTACAACTGCTTTTTGTATAAATATTTGAATTCAAACAGCACTATTCTAGGGACAAGTAACAGGACAAGCCTTTTAAAAAAGTTTTTCAGCTAGGCAAATTTTTCATAGCAAAGTTTTAAAAATCAAAGTGATTGCAACTATTCATGAACTAGGAATGTGGATCAGAAAATGAAGAGAGTGTGACTTGATTATAGAAGAGAACAATTAAAGCCTGACATCTGTTTTAAGATAGTGTATACTAAGACGTTCTAGGAACCAGCCTGACTCAAGGAAATTTAGGTTATTGAGGTAATAAGATAGGCAGTTTTAAATTTACCTTCTGGTTTGCTTGAATACCATTTGAAATCTTGGGAGATTGTGTTAACCATAGAAGTTAGAGTCTAACAAAAGATGAAGAGAAAATTTAAAATTTGTTTCTTAAACCTTTGATACACAGGTAAAGTGGGGTGGGGAAGGGATCATCATATGTCCTTAAACTTTAACATGTATTTATTTATAATTTCTAAATGATTATATTGAACCTTTTTTGTCCTGCTAATCTGTATACAGCGTGACTTATGATGGATTTATTTTACTAAACAAAGTATAGACAAAATAAAAGAATTTTCACATTCTTTAACCTTTGGTGGTTGTTCAGTCGTTTTTCAGTCATGTCTGACTCCTTGTGACCTCATTTGGCTTTTTCTTGGCGAAGATACTGGAGTGGTTTGCCATTTTGTTCTCCAGTTCATTTTACATGAGGAAACTGAGGCAAACAGGGTTAATGATTTGCCCAAGGTGACCCAGCTAGTAACCTTTAACCTTATGGCTAGTTTATTATCCATTTGTCAAAATATTTTGTCAACAGTAGGTTGAAAGAATAAATGAAGTGTTTACTATGTGTCAAACACTGCGCTAAGGGCTGGGGATACGAAAATAAGAGTCTTGGCTCTAAAGAAGAGAAAGGTTCAGATGTAAATCAGATGGAAAAGTTCTATGGTCTTTAGAGTGTTGAGGAAAAGCCGATGGTAAGGCCTTTTCTTCAGTGTCATTTCCACTGACAAAGTCATACTAGTTTCTGATGTTGACCCAGTGGACAGTGCTAAGAACTTTGCTTTCTAGGTCTTCAGTACCTATGGTGATAAGCACCTGCAGGAGCTATTGCCAGGCTGAGTTGCTTCCCAGGGTGGTGGCTGAGGGCCCTGGGCTAGAAACATTCCTCTCCTATGGCTCTTTGACCCTGGCTCCTGGGCTGCCTCCATCAGGATCTGAAGGGAGTTGTTCAAGTTGGTGGTGGTGGTTTGGCTTAGTGGGTACATACCACCTCCAGTCGCTACCTTAGGGTGCCTTGTAGCTTCAGCTAGATGGGCTTATTTGCCCAGTCTATGGCAGTTGGGAGCTGGTAGGGATGACTGGATTAGATTAAATAGCCTAAAACCATCTTGGTTTCAAATGTATAATTATTTTTACCATTTCTCCGATCCATGTGATGATGGTAATCTACCTTTAATACTCAGTTCTCCTTAACCTCAAGGGAAATTAGAATTCCCAGTTTCCCCTGGACACGTCATCCTGGTAATAGAGTCATAGTACAAATAGGTTCAATTTATTTGGATGTTCTGATGGTTCTAGGTTGTCTGCAGTGGTCCTATACTGCTGAGCCTGATGGGCTAGAACCCAATCATGGTAGTGTTCCAAGGGAAACGAAGCACTTGGCAGCTGCTGCTTTGCTAAGTTCCTGTCCTAGGACCTGCATTTTCCCATAGTAATGTCTGTTCTTAAGGACAAGGAACCCGTCTCGGCCGTTTTGCCCAAGTCTACGTGTGAAGATCCTTCAATAGATGCTTAAACTGAGACTTTTGGATATTGTTTCATGCAGTTGGATGTTAACTATAAATAGGACTGGCTTGAGCTATTAAGAAAATAGTGACCTTACAGCTGCTCAATCACAGAATTTCCAAGTTGGAAGGGACTTTAGTCTATCCCTACCCAAAAATGAATTCCTCCTACAATCTAGCCAACAAGTGAGCTTCTAGACTTTCCTTTAAGATTTCTAGTGAGTTTGAAGTCGCTATATTTCCCAGGCAGCCTGTCCCACTTTCAGATGGCTGTAATTGTTTGGAAAATTTTTATCAGGTATGAATTTCTTAATAGCAGCTGTTTATGTTTTGGCCAGAAACCCGGAGGGTCTTCCCCTCCAGAATGCTGTTTTGTTTTTTTTTTGACTAGGTAAAAGAGGCCATTCTCTGTTTCATTTCTTACCTCGCCTTAATCACTACATGGACGTTGCCTCAGTCATACTGAGACATGTTAAAGACCTTTGCTTAAAAAGGCCAAGGTCTCCCGCTGCATTCAGGGCCATCTCTAGTCTTTCTGATCTCTATCTTGCCGCTGGGCCCAGATGACTCTGGAAGAGAAAGTGAGGCTGGTGACTTTGCACAGCCCTGCCTCACTTAAATCCAATTTACTTGCAAGTCCTGGCATCACCTTCCTGATGTCATGGTCCACGTCGAGAACGGAGGGAAAACAACAGCAACAACAACTTAGGGTGTGGTATAATGCCTTCCCTTTGGGTCAAGTTATGACTTCATGGAATGCTACTACGTGACCTGTGTACCCAGGGTCCCTCATCACTATGATTTTTCAACAACACCTCCCAACCCCGCTACCCACACCCCACTCCTGCTTCATGAGCCTTCACGGTAAAAGAAAATTAACTTGATCAAAGTCTCCATAACTAAGACTTCTCATGGCAGGCAAGTTGACATCTTTGGCTTCTCATTCTGACTCCACTGTCACAAATGTTAAATCTTTTCTAAAGTATGAATATAATCCAACTACTGCAGAAGACTTACTCAGCCATAAAGTCAACAAAGAATCTTAAGAACATAGGATGTGCTGATACTTTTATTGATGTTTTAATTCATATTAAATACTACATAGTTTGTGATACCAGTACAGATTTGCCTAGAAATAGAATAATTTATAAAGTAATATTATTTTCTAAAATCAACATAATTCAAGATAACACTCCCATCTAAATTTGTTTAAAGCTGTCTCTGTTGTAAAAAGTTAAAAGTTAATTTCCTAAAATGATCTTTAATTGACACCTAACTTCACAGATCTCATTTAACATTTCCATTTCAGTTTCATCATCCCAGTCAGGTAGTCTGTAGTGTGTACCAATTTTTTTTTCCTATTAAACCCTTTGCAGTATAGTGTAATACATGCATTATAGTATGATGGAGTATATAATAATAGTATGGTATAGTATATAGTATAACATAACATAGTATAGACCTCACATTATGGGTTATGCTTTTTCTCAGAGTCTGATGTGGGGACTTGCATATGACTAGCATTTGATAAACAGTGTTTAATTGAAAAGGCATGAATAGTGATTATGCTCCCTTTGACAAATACCAAAAAGGGGTTCCAATGGAAACAATTTTCCCTGCTTTGCAAAGCTATTAGATATTCTAAAGAAGAATGCTGATGATAACAGACAGCATTATATGCCAGCAGAATATTGTTTGGAGAGAACAAATGCATCTGTTGTCTCAAAATTAGGAAACTAGAAAAGGTAGAAAGAGGAAAAAAATTAATTATATGTAGCATAAGTGGAGAGAACAATTTAAAATCAATTATGAACAATCAATGAATTATCAGCACTATGACTTCTTCTGATAAATGAGCATCCCCACAAGTTGTCAGTATTTGATATCATATTTCAAAGTCAAAAATCATTTTCACTTGACATATAATCACCGACCCTAACCGTCCAATCAGCCATGGTTTTAGACTCTGTATATTTTGTCAGGTTCAGCAAATAGATTCAAATCATTAAAGTTATCCCACATTTTTAACAGAAAATGATTTGCAATTAAGTGAAACCATCCAGACAATTTAACTTTGTCCTTGGTTTCTTGTTCCAAAAGATCTTTTAGTTCTTCCTTTGTCACATAAATACAGTCCTTTACTTCTTTGGGATCTGGATTCAAACTGACATCTTTCCTTACAAGGAGAAGGTAACCAATTTCATGTTCTCCCCAGACCTCATCTGAACACAGCTTGTAGTGAGTTCTTGACACAAGGGTAATATCGTCAAGGGAAATCTGTGATCCACAAAGTATAGTCTTAGAAAATGTCAGAGAATATAGTTTATTCCTATAATAGAAAAACTTTCACTTTCTAAGCAAAGCTGAATTGGATACCCCTGCCAACAGTCTATTTCATTCCTCTAGGAACTTTCAAGCACCAATCCCATGGTTTATCTAATCAAGGGTTCATTCATAAAGCTGTCTCACCAAAACCAGAATTGGAAACTGGACTTTCTTTTGCTTCAGAAGAGTATTTAGATTAACACACTAATTAATTGACCAAATTATCTCAATATTAATCTAGGATTTGGTCTCTTTTGTTAAGAAATTAGAGTAAAAATATAGTCTTTTTTATTTGTTTGTTGTTTTTTGGGGGGGGGGGTGGGAATCAGAGTTAGGTGATTTGCCCAGGGTGACACCGTATCTGAGGTCAGATTTGAACTTAGGTCCTCCTGACTCCAGGGAAAAGTATAGTGTTTTGGGGGCAAAAAAAAAAAAGTATGGAAAACAGATATCTGCATATAAATGTAGAACTTCATTCTGGCTCCAAGTTTCTATCTTCACTCCCATACCTATTAGAAGAGCCAAAAGTCCTGAATAATTATCCCAACTTGATAATAAGACCCAGAAAAAAACTGAAAATTGTCTATGACTCCTTCTGCTGCTGTAGTATAATCTCATGCAGGTTACTCCTTTGATACATTAATCATTCAAAGATCAGCTTTAAAATCCAGCTGTCCGAGTATATCATTAGTTCCTATAGTATCTAGTTTTCCTATCACAGACAATAAAACTGGTTACCTGCTCCTGGGGAATTCCTAATTCAATATGTAAACGTCACTTAGCAGCCCACTTCATTCCAATTGCATTACTTTCTTCCATTTCTAGCGGTTTATATAGTGGATGACTAGAGCAACCGTCAGAAAAACACCCGAAAATGGATCAAACAGCATCTCAAATAAGAGAAGTCCTTGGAACATCAATGAAAGATAAGCAGGCTCCCCATGTAACAAATCTGATTTTTTTCTCATTTGTGCCCAGGAAGCCAGCTACAATAAATCATTCCAAGAACAAGAAGATTGAATTTTGACTATTTAATAATGGGTACAAAATGTCCCCCATCATAGTGACTACCCACCCTAAGAACAGAACAGCAAGCATAGTTCGGGACCCCAGCCTAGGAAGGAGACAGACCAGCACTGGCTGGCATATACTTCTCTGTGTTACTTCTCTGTGTACAGGTTGTATCTCTCCTATAGAATGTAAGTCATTTAAGGGCAGGAATTATTTTTTTCAAATTTGTATTTGTATCCTCACATGTAACACAATATTCTGCACATTGGTAATTAATAGACTTTTGTTGAATTGAATGGCTGATTACAGGGTTCCTTCTTCACAGTTAGAAGGGCTTAACCTCTCCCTAACCCTGTCCCATTAAATAGACTTACACTTCAATGACTTGTTTTTTTGTACCTTATGACAGTGACTCATTTTCTATCTGGGGATATTAATCAGTTAATAATAT